ACATGTATGAATTGCATTAAAATAAAACGGAATACAATTATAGTTAAAACTTCTGTTGAAGGATCATTAAAAGCATTGTTTGAATTTAATTTGATTTTTAGTTGTTTCTTATTCATTTTCTTAAAAAAATGACTAAACATTTGTTGTTTGGTTTATACAGAGCACCAGTTTAACAGGAGATGTTTTCAATATTTGAATATTTTCCAAATAAAGATTCAAATGCTAACATGTGCGTATTGGTATGACACATACAAAGTGTACTGTCCGTAACTTTTATTCTTATTTTTACTTATGTAAATTTTGTAGCTGCTTCAATTGGTTATAATATAAGATTGCATTAAATTGTTTACATTTTAAATTTGGGGTCAGGTTTTTCCAGTCATCTCAAAATGTTTGCAGGCTTTCTGAGTTTCCTCACAGAGAGCCTCATGATGAACATGTTCAACAACATTTGGACGTATTTTGTTGAAAACTAATCAGAGCTGTCGCAGACACATCAAACCTTTCTCCATTTAGTTTCTGTAAACGCTACAGCTACATTTTGACACTGAAGCTACAGCACTAAACATTTACATCTAGAAGCCACACACATGAAAAATGTTCTTGAAGTGTGTGAAGGAGRAACAAAGCGGGTTGTGGTACGATGAGGGCAGAAAGGAGCAATGAAGTAATAAGAAAATATATTTTCTCATAATTTTGAGTCTCTAAGTAGTTTCAGTCACAGCTTAGTGAGATGACGTACTTTTACCCAGAACAACTAGGGGCCTTTTAGCTCTGAACACACTGATGTCAGGACAGAAGGTTAGAGAAAATAAAAAACGGAAATTATTCCTTTCTTATAAACAGTAATAAAAGCTGCTACCAGATTTTCCCTTGTTTTAGACGTGTTGTGAAAATATTGTTGCTCTGCCTAAATGTCCCGTTTTACAGCAACTCATTCTGATGAAAACCCTCTTATTAGATGATAAGCATGGAGCGGTCTAACCYGTTATTAGCTGTGAGAACAAAAAGAGGAGTTTAAGAAGCAAAAACAAACWGTCTACAAATTAAAGCTGCCTAACAGCCTAACGATAATAAATCTAACATCTATCAAACAGCCACGTTTTCTAAGCAGACAAGAGCAACACTAACTTCATTTACCTTCATTAGCTAATATTTCCCGCAGGGGAGGGGAAAACGACAAAACATTTCAGCAGAATTAAAACAAGAGTTTTGCTTTGAAGAGATTTAAAAAGGTTGTGTTCTGATGTGAACAACCACTCTGTGATCAGAACAAGGACAAGAAGGTGAAGACACTTCCTGCTGCTTTGTTCTGCTTTCCTGTAGTCGTCATGTTGAAAGCATCAGATCATTCTGAACATCCTCCTTCCTGTCAGGCTGACTGGAAGCAGCGACTCGATGAGACAAAAACAAAGTAATAACTACCTCCAGCAGCACACCAGACTGTTTTAACAGCTGAAGGCTGACAACACACTGGCTGTCAATCAAACCTGTTATTCAGATCAACTCAGGGTCTTTCTGTTGGTGTTTCAGAGATGAGACGGGTTGTACCTTATCCATCTTCAGTCTTTTCAGGTAGGAGGGGCTGTCGTAACCTTTGGCCTGYCGCGCTTCCTGTAAGTGATTGATCATCCAAACGTTCTTCCTTTGCTTGGCGAGGTCCAGCGGCGTTTCGCCCTGATAAATGACAAAAGATGATCAGTCGCTGCAGCCGCCTGATCACCAACTTAAAAAGATGTAAACATTTTTTCAAACTTCACAGTGGAACAAGCAGAACCCTTAATGTAAAGGTGGGAACTCCCACTCTAAAATCTGACATATTTGACAAAATATCACCAAAGTTTTCATCAACGACCTTTTATCCTGCATAAAAATGAAATAAAGAAATAAATAATATAATAAATTACTGAATAAAAAAATAAATCACAAGCACTAAAACTATGACTGTTTTTTTAAGGTGGGACATATTGGGCAGATACCCAATCAAAACTAATCTTTGATCCTCAGGTAGACACTATAAGCAGCTTCTGTTCACTGTCCCATTAAAACTAATGCAAAAATGTAAACAACTGGAAAGACAGCATTCAGAAAGTTAAGCTGCTACAGCTAAGCTACTGTTACACCCTGAGCTACCTGTGTTACAAACTGAAACTGTCATGCTGAGTCAGCATTGCTGACTAAAGAAATTAATCAAATTTAAAGAAAAACGTAACAAGTACTTTAGTCAAATAAGATGACAGAYGGTAAGCTAATGGTAGTTAATGTTAGCTTGTTTGCTAACTCGCTACAATTGTTTAGTTGAACTTGTGTGAAGAATTGTTACAGCTGCTGCAAATGATTCAAGTCAAGTTAATCTCAATTCATGCAAACACTCAGAACCCGGGTCTGAAGCCAGGCTGGGTCGGGCCTTTCAGTGCWTTAATGCTCAAAGTAAAGCCATGTCCACGCAAGATAAAATGAGTTTACAAAATTCTGTTTTTGTTTTGTTGTTTTTAAAAATGTTCTAATAAAGATGGCTTTGTTTCTACAAATGCAGGGTTCCCACACCTTGGTCAACATCAAATTCAAGGACCTTTCAAGGACTTTCCAGTACCAATTTCCTTAAATCCATGCACCACGTGCCATGGCAATTACCTACTGCTACCGCAGAGTGTTGCCAATAAACAGGTTTAATATCATTTAAATTTAATGAAAAACTGAACAACATAGAAGTTGAGAGAGAATCAATGAAATAAAGTGGATTAAATGTACACTCTACATTCAKATCCACAATACATGGACATGTAATTATGTCCTGGGAGGTTTGGCTGCTCAGTTTGGGAGGAGGGGATGTGAACATGTCCAGACGCTCAGTGAGGACAGGAGCAGCTGTGGTGATCTCACCTGGGCTCAGAAAGAATGACCCGCCCTACTCTGCTCTGATTGGCTAAAACTATGACTATGGCTCACGTTATTTGTTATCCACCATCCATATTTGTTATTAGTTATCCACCGCAACAAACGCAAGTTTTTTTATTTATTTATTTTTTTGCAGATGATGAAAATCAGTCATGTGAATAGAGAACTTCAATCCCCAAAAAACATTCAAGGACTTTCAAGGACAAGTGTAATTTTTGGTGTGTTCACAAACTTTCCAGGGCCTTGAAAATTTTTTTTCAAATTCACAAACTTTGAAGGATTTCAAGGACCCGTGGGAACCCTGCAAATGCTTTTGAAAGACGACCCTGATGATGAGCTGCAGTAACTTTGCTGGGTTTGTTTGGGACGCTGTAATGA